TGATGTAGTGCTTCCAGTTGTTGACGCTGTGTTTCCAGTTGTTGACGCTGTGTTTCCAGTTGTTGACGTAGTGTTTCCAGTTGTTGATGTAGTGCTTCCAGTTGTTGATGTAGTGCTTTCAGTTGTTGACGCTGTGTTTCCAGTTGTTGACGTAGTGCTTCCAGTTGTTGACGCTGTGTTTCCAGTTGTTGACGTAGTGCTTCCAGTTGTTGACGTAGTGTTTCCAGTTGTTGACGTAGTGCTTCCAGTTGTTGACGCTGTGTTTCCAGTTGTTGACGTAGTGCTTCCAGTTGTTGACGCTGTGTTTCCAGTTGTTGACGTAGTGCTTCCAGTTGTTGACGTAGTGTTTCCAGTTGTTGATGTAGTGCTTCCTGTGGCCTGTACTACGAAGCAGGATGTGCGGTTAGAGAGTTAACTTCAGGTTAACTCTTGAGTTAGAGAGGTGTTGGAGAAATACTGTTTTCTCCACTCTCTGGGTTTGTTTGAATGCACTGATATCATGTGTGGCTCTGAACTGTGTACGGCCTTGCAGCTGCCTCTTTATGATAGGGGAAGGCAGGGCATTTCAGGTTGTTGATCTTTATGAGGAGACAGGCACATACTTGATGTTTCCTACATATCTCACTTCTGAAAGAAGTCCAGAAGTCACAGATAACCCATCGCAGATGACCCGACTTTCCGACACCCGCGGCTGATAATAGTGCCACCTCGATTTAGGACTTCGTTGTTATCTATCTCCGTATTTTGGACTATATAAGCCTGATGTTTTTTGCTGCTCCATTGAGCAACATACCCCATGTGTGTGAGTTAACCCATATCCTTTGTATGTGATTTAACTCTGCTCCTTCTTGCAAGAATAAACTAGAACCTGATTATTGATTCTCAACCTGGTGTTGAGTTATATTTTCCTAACAAGAGGTTAACTCTGGGTTAGAGAGGTAACTTCAGGTTAACTCTAGGTTTCCGGTCCTACGACGCTGGTTCTCTTCGTAGATCTCCATTGTAACTTATGCTGAACACCAATCCTGCTCCGGAGCAGGATTGGTGTTCAGCATAAGTTCCAGATAAGAGATCAAATCAGTGAAAGCACCGCCCGCTGACCAATCAGAGCTCCGTGTGCGGAGTTTAAAGCTATCAAGTCATATTACAGGATAGAGGAAATACAGAAAAACTGCCGTTGCAGGAAAGACGGCCGGCAAAAATCACCTGACTGTGTGAACGTGAAAATGAATAGAATATCCCCTCCCATCTTCAGAGCAATCTGACTATTATAACATTAGCGTTAAAGGTGGGGTAGGTAAGTTTGAGAAACCGGCTCGAGATCGCTAGAATTAGAAAATACACAACCGGAGAAAATCTGCCACTTCCTTACAGAGCCCCTCCTCCAACACACACGAACGCGCACATGACCAATGAGGGCACGAGATAAGTTTGTGCCCAGATGGAAGGCTGACAGGCAGGTAGGCCATCCAGTTATTTTAGCCGGGCCGGCTCAGATGATTGGTCGTGCTTTTTACAGTACTACAGCTTCCACAGATGATATTTATTTATGGATTTTTTATTGTCAAAGCACTTCAGATATTCATTGCTATCGGGATGTTAAGAGCATTCCATGGAATATAACAAAAAGTGTATCTCGAGCCGGTTTCTCAAACTTACCTACCCCACCTTTAAGAAAGCTTACTTAAATATCTGCCACGACATAAGTAACCGGATCAGAGTAACATTAAGTACAGTCCGCGGCACTGTGAGTGCAGACGTCGATGTGTCCCATTATCATTCATATCATATCACATCATAATGTATCATATATCTCCTTATCTGAGTCAGCTGAGCCGTATCTGGCCGTGCAACACTCACAGTGTCACATACTGTATGCAGAAGTATTATTTTAAGCAACACATTAAGTTGACGAAACACTGGAGTCAAATGTAATTAAAGTCAGATCGTGTCTTAGACGGGGCAGTGATATCATAAACCTGTTAATGTACGCATTCAAACACTTTCTCTGTTACCAGCTGTATTCACCTTGCAGGTGCAGCTATGTGGCTTTGATCCTGGATAAAGTGTTAAGTCATGGATGTTTAAAGTTTAACTTCTTCAATTCAGGAAGTATGACGCTGCGCTGTCAGTACGCTTGTCCATGTTTGTGATTGGTCAAATGTTGCTAACCCCGCCCCTTTCATGTGAAGGCGCACTTAGCCGGACAGAGAAACCCTGGCTTGAGTTACTGAGTTGATAACCAGCGCCGTAGGACCGCTTAGCGAGATCTCTTTGTTAGGGTTAGTTAAGATAACTCAGAGAGATCTGGGTCTGTTGGACTGGCTTCAGAGTACAGGCCTCTGGGTCTGTTGGACTGGCTTCAGAGTACAGGCCTCTGGGTCTGTTGGACTGGCTTCAGAGTACAGTCCTCTGGGTCTGTTGGACTGGCTTCAGAGTACAGGCCACTGGGTCTGTTGGACTGGCTTCAGAGTACAGGCCTCTGGGTCTGTTGGACTGGCTTCAGAGTACAGGCCTCTGGGTCTGTTGGACTGGCTTCAGAGTACAGGCCTCTGGGTCTGTTGGACTGGCTTCAGAGTACAGGCCTCTGGGTCTGTTGGACTGGCTTCAGAGTACAGGCCTCTGGGTCTGTTGGACTGGCTTCAGAGTACAGGCCTCTGGGTCTGTTGGACTGGCTTCAGAGTACAGGCTCTGGGTCTGTTGACTGGCTTCAGAGTACAGGCCTCTGGTCTGTTGGACTGGCTTCAGAGTACAGGCCTCTGGTCTGTTGGACTGGCTTCAGAGTACAGGCCTCTGGGTCTGTTGGACTGGCTTTCAGAGTACAGTCCTCTGGGTCTGTTGGACTGGCTTCAGAGTACAGTCTCTGGGTCTGTTGGACTGGCTTCAGAGTACAGGCCTCTGGTCTGTTGGACTGGCTTCAGAGTACAGGCCTCTGGGTCTGTTGGACTGGCTTCAGAGTACAGGCCTCTGGGTCTGTTGGACTGGCTTCAGAGTACAGGCCTCTGGGTCTGTTGGACTGGCTTCAGAGTACAGGCCACTGTTGTTGACGTTGTGTTTCCAGTTGTTGATGTAGTGTTTCCAGTTGTTGACGTAGTGTTATCTGTTGTTGACGTAGTGTTATCTGTTGTTGACGCTGTGCTTCCTGTTGTTGACGGTGTGCTTCCTGTTGTTGACGCTGTGCTTCCTGTTGTTGACGCTGTGCTTCCTGTTGTTGTTTCAGAACCGGCCCCAGCAGCGCCCCGACGCTGGTCAGCTGTTGGTCGATACCAAGTTCTCGTTCCCGGTTCTGTTCCCGTATTCCCCGTCAGCACTGAGCCTGGAGACGCTGCTCATCCCGGCCTCGCTCGGACTCGACTTCCTCAGCAGAGTCTGAGCCGATAAACATATTAATATCTTTATTAATATTTATCTACACAGCCACGGGCTTTAGCTTTAATATCATGATCGTCTCTTCTTTTATATTTCTGTGTCTTTCTATCTTTCTGCTCAATTCTGAACCCACTACACTCATTATTAACACTCTGAGGAACTACACTCATTATTAACACTCTGATGAACTACACTCATTATTAACACTCTGAGGAACTACACTCATTAACACTAGTTATGAAGCTGGTTAGAGTTTTATTTCTTCCCTGATGATTATTAATAATGTATTTTCTAAAGATCTCCTCACAGATTTACAGTGAAGTTTAAATTCTAAATGTTTTCTGAATGAAGCTCTGAGATTTATTGTGAAATGATTGATGATTCCTGTCCTCCGTCTCTTCAGACGTTAATAAAATATGTTTTCTGCAAAAACCCAACTCTACATTTACTTTAATTTCACAACAAAATCTAAATAGTTTTTTATTGATGATTCTGATTTCAGACGCGTCTTATTGGACGCTGAGCGGATCGAGAGAGAGCTTTCATTATACTTTTGATACGGTGTTAATAAATCAATAAATCAGCAGGTATTGGGTCTGGTGGAGGGGGGGGGGGTGAACAGTTTAATCCATTTAACTTTAAATAATTCTGTCTTTTCACCACAGAAACTATATTCAGTTTTATTTTTAGTCTAATCTGAGTGGAATGGAATAAACTTTTAAATATAAAAAACTAAATTCACATCAGACGTGTTTTATGAACAGAAACGTAAAACAGGTTTGATATTATTTGACAAACAGTCGAAGTGAACCGTTATTTCCTGTGTTGCACCGACAGATTATAATACAGTATGTAACCTGAATATAACAATGAGCTCTTCAGTCTCCGGCGTGAGAGCGGCACACGAGAGGATTCCCAGAGACCTCAACCCTCCATCAGTTACTGACTGTGGTTACCTGCAGGCAGGTGGTACACACACCTGTTACACACACACCATGGTCCATGTTATATATAGTTTATTTGATATATTTGAGTGCCTGGCTGCTATGTTTCAGAGGGATCTTTGTGAGGATGAGCGGCGGACAGGAAGAGGAAGTGGTGACAAGTCATTTCTGAAACCTCTCTGCTGCACGGCTGCAACACCTCCTGCAGAACACACACACACACACATATATTACATATACACGTAACATGTTTACAGGTAAGCAGATATACAGGTAAACCGCAGTATGTCTGAAGCTGAAACACCGGGCTCTCTGTTTCCTCAGAAATCAGATCTTCATGACGTCATAAATGTGTCAAACTGTAGAGGATGCTAATGAACAGCTGGCTGTGGCTAACAGAAGTCCTCATAATGTACAGAAGTCTATGAGAAGTCCTCATAATGTACAGAAGTCTATGAGAAGTCCTCATAATGTACAGAAGTATATGAGAAGTCCTCATAATGTACAGAAGTCTATGAGAAGTCCTCATAATGTACAGAAGTCTATGAGAAGTCCTCATAATGTACAGAAGTCTATGAGAAGTCCTCATAATGTACAGAAGTCTATGAGAAGTCCTCATAATGTATAGAAGTCTATGAGACGTCCTCATAATGTACAGAAGTCTATGAGAAGTCCTCATAATGTATAGAAGTCTAGAAGTCCTCATAATGTACAGAAGTCTATGAGAAGTCCTCATAATGTACAGAAGTCTATGAGACGTCCTCATAATGTACAGAAGTCTATGAGAAGTCCTCATAATGTATAGAAGTCTAGAAGTCCTCATAATGTATAGAAGTCTATGAGAAGTCCTCATAATGTATAGAAGTCTATGAGAAGTCCTCATAATGTATAGAAGTATATGAGAAGTCCTCATAATGTATAGAAGTCTAGAAGAAGTCCTCATAATGTATAGAAGTCTATGAGAAGTCCTCATAATGTATAGAAGTATATGAGAAGTCCTCATAATGTACAGAAGTCTATGAGAAGTCCTCATAATGTATAGAAGTATATGAGAAGTCCTCATAATGTATAGAAGTCTGAGAAGTCCTCATAATGTACAGAAGTCTATGAGAAGTCCTCATAATGTACAGAAGTCTATGAGAAGTCCTCATAATGTATAGAAGTCTATGAGACGTCCTCATAATGTACAGAAGTCTATGAGAAGTCCTCATAATGTATAGAAGTCTAGAAGTCCTCATAATGTACAGAAGTCTATGAGAAGTCCTCATAATGTACAGAAGTCTATGAGACGTCCTCATAATGTACAGAAGTCTAGAAGTCCTCATAATGTATAGAAGTCTATGAGAAGTCCTCATAATGTATAGAAGTATATGAGAAGTCCTCATAACGTATAGAAGTATATGAGAAGTCCTCATAATGTATAGAAGTCTAGAAGAAGTCCTCATAATGTATAGAAGTCTATGAGAAGTCCTCATAATGTATAGAAGTATATGAGAAGTCCTCATAATGTACAGAAGTCTATGAGAAGTCCTCATAATGTATAGAAGTATATGAGAAGTCCTCATAATGTATAGAAGTCTATGAGAAGTCCTCATAATGTACAGAAGTCTATGAGAAGTCCTCATAATGTACAGAAGTCTATGAGAAGTCCTCATAATGTATAGAAGTATATGAGAAGTCCTCATAATGTACAGAAGTCTATGAGAAGTCCTCATAATGTATAGAAGTCCTCATAATGTATAGAAGTCTATGAGAAGTCCTCATAATGTATAGAAGTCTATGAGAAGTCCTCATAATGTATAGAAGTCTATGAGAAGTCCTCATATTGTACAGAAGTCTATGAGAAGTCCTCATAATGTACAGAAGTCTATGAGAAGTCCTCATAATGTACAGAAGTCTGTGAGAAGTCCTCATAATGTATAGAAGTCTATGAGGAAATGTTAACATCAGTGTTTAGACTTTATATCTCCACATCTCTGCATCTGAAAGGTCATGGATCATCAGAGAGGTCATGGCAGAGGTGGGGACTCGAGTCACATGACTTGACTCGAGTCAGACTTGACTCGAGTCCGACTCGAGTCGCACATTTTTTGACTTGAGACTTGCTTGACTAACATTGATAAAAGACTTGACTTGACTTTGACTTGGTATTCATTACTTGAGACTTGACCTAAGCTTGAGACAGACGACTTGAAAGGACTTGACTTTTTAAAATTAAATATTTGCGTTTGTTTTTGTAGTGAGATATTACGTTTAGTTTGTTCGAAAAACGTGATTGGGTGATTATAGCGCCGTGCGCGCAAACCTGGCAACCCACTAGACGGCAGGAGTGTCAGTTAACATGGCAGCGGCTAGCGTTACTCCACAAATAGTGAAGTTTGGATTCAAGGATTATGTTGTGTTTGTTTGTAGAAGTGCATCATTCCTTGATTTATTGTAAAATGAATCTGAACTTTGATCTGTTATGATGATAAACTGAAGCCATTTCTAAATTAACCCAATTAACTGAGTTTTAAATCGTCCTACTTAGTTTATAAGGAAATGATGAAGAGGAACAAATGAAATGATTTGAAAATGATATCTATGTAGGTGCTGACGCTGTTGGCGGTTCTAGTGTTAACAGACATTTAAATTAAATATGTGTAATGGCAAATTCCATTTATGATTTTCTTACCTGGAATTCTGCCTTTTTGAACAGACTGACTGAGTCCTAGCTATACTGAGTCCTAGCTATACTGAGTCCTAGCTATACTGAGTCCTAGCTATACTGAGTCCTAGCTATACTGAGTCCTAGCTATACTGAGTCCTAGCTATATGGAGTCCTAGCTATACTGAGTCCTAGCTATATTGAGTCCTAGCTATATTGAGTCCTAGCTATATTGAGTCCTAGCTATACTGAGTCCTAGCTATATTGAGTCCTAGCTATATTGAGTCCTAGCTATATGGAGTCCTAGCTATATGGAGTCCTAGCTATATTGAGTCCTAGCTATATTGAGTCCTAGCTATATTGAGTCCTAGCTATACTGAGTCCTAGCTATACTGAGTCCTAGCTATATTGAGTCCTAGCTATATTGAGTCCTAGCTATATTGAGTCCTAGCTATATTGAGTCCTAGCTATATGGAGTCCTAGCTATATGGAGTCCTAGCTATATGGAGTCCTAGCTATATGGAGTCCTAGCTATACTGAGTCCTAGCTATATTGAGTCCTAGCTATATTGAGTCCTAGCTATACTGAGTCCTAGCTATTGTCTGCAGTTCTAGGGTTAATATGAATCTAATATGATTGTCATCGGTCTAAATTAGATTTCAAATGATTAACTGTGTATGTAATGAAGATCATAGTGTGGGTTAAATCCATTTTCATAACTACTGTCTTTTAACTGATTTAAATACGGAAACTGGGGTTACTCATCAGAATTTCATATGACTTGACTTGACTTGCTTGACCTGAGCAATGACTTGACTTGACTTGCTTGACCTGAGCAATGACTTGACTTGACTTGCTTGACTCTCACCACAGTGACTTGGGACTTGCTTGATACTTGTAGGTCAAGACTTGAAACTTGCTCATGACTTGCACATGTAGGACTTACTCCCACCTCTGGGTCATGGATCATCAGAGAGGTCATGGATCATCATCAGAGAGGTCATGGATCATCATCAGAGAGGTCATGGATCATCAGAGAGGTCATGGATCATCATCAGAGAGGTCATGATCTCTGGATGGGTTCTGGATGGGTTCTGATGGTTCTGATGGTTCTGATGATCTGCAGATTGAGAAGTTTCCTGAGAACAGAGTGTTTCTCTGGGTGTTGAGCAGGAAGTGTGAAAACTCTGAGATGTTTTTCTGATTTACATCCTGAGAGTAACCGCTGCTTCCTGTCGCTGAACAATATACTGAGCGCAGAGAGGCACCAACCTCAGAGGGGGGGTCTGCTCAGAGAGACTCATATACATAGATCTGCAGAGAGGCACCAACCTCAGAGGGGGGGTCTGCTCAGAGAGACTCATATACACAGATCTGCAGAGACAGTGTTCAGATATATTCAGCAGAGTTTGTTGGAGTTCATCCCGGACCCTTCTGGTTCTGGTCTTGCTGGTTCTGGTCTTGCTGGTTCAGGTCTTGCTGATTCTGGTTCTGGTCTTGCTGGTTCTGGTTCTGGTCTTGCTGGTTCAGGTCTTGCTGGTTCTGGTTCTGGTCTTGCTGGTTCTGGTCTTGCTGGTTCTGGTTCTGGTCTTGCTGGTTCAGGTCTTGCTGGTTCTGGTTCAGGTCTTGCTGGTTCTGGTTCTGGTCTTGCTGGTTCAGGTCTTGCTGGTTCTGGTTCTGGTTATTTGGTGTCCTGGAGCCCCGATGGTACGGGTCCTGGTCCTGGTTCTGGTCCTCGCGGCGGCGGCTCAGGCTCTCAGCGGAGACGGAGACGGAGACGGAGACTCAGGTCAGAAACACTTTGCAAACTCATGAAATCCTTAGTTAAAATATTTCTAAATAAAATACATAAAAGGTCAAAGACTGTAAACATGTTGAGAACATCTGAAACAAGGCGTTAGGGGTCCTACCTTTTTAGGGGTAAAAGTATCAAATACACAGTATTATCAATACTTCTGTATACTTAACGTACTAAAAGTCCTCATATTTCTTATTTCATTAAATATAAATATGAATGGACTGATGGTCAAGATTATATGAATACGTTAAATACAATCATAAAACATGAATGCTGACTGATGTTTTTTAATATCATTATTCATTTATGTGTGTTTTACATCATATATATATATATACAGTAAATATACAGTAAATAAATATACTGTACTCCTAACTGAGTTCATGTTAAACTCTACAGGTCACTAACGCCTAATATTATATTTAATATCTAAATCTAATATTATTATATTATTTATTATATTATATTTTTTATATTATATTATATGTTGTACATTACATTATATCTGTCCCACCTATAAAGAAAATATATAAATATATATAACAATATATATATATATATAAACAATATATATATAACAATATTATATATATATATATATAACAATACTATATATATATATATATATATTGTTATATATATATATATATATTGTTATATATATATTGTTATATATATAATATATGATGTTATATCTCATGAAGGGGTGGTGTGCTCCTCCCACCTCCTGCTGTCCGGCTGCAGTCTGAGCTGTCAGCTGGGGGGGGGGGGGAGGTGAGGATGATGAAGATGAAGAGGCTTTGGAGAAAATGAGCGTCTGGTGAATATTTCATATTAATAATAAGGAGTTTATTTCAAAATGACAGCTCTCTTCTGATTGGTTCACAGAAAGTGTGTGTGTGTGTGTGTGTGTGTGTGTGTGTGTGTGTGTGTGTGTGTGTGTGTGTGTGTGTGTGTGTGTGTGTGTGTGTGTGTGTGTGTGTGTGGGTGTGTGTGTGTGTGTGTGTGTGTGTGTGTAGTTACACAGATGTCAGCAGTGGGTCCAGCTGTTACAATGTCTCCGGCCCCCCCCCCCCCTGGTCTCCCCCCCCCTCCTGAACCCAGTGATCCAGTACAGAGTGACTCTGCTCCTGAGGGGGGGGGGCAGCCGCAGCCGGACCCTGGACCTGAAGACCGTCGGTGAGACACCATCATTTATAGAAATATATGTATATATATACATTTATATATATATTCATACACACTGTTAATACTGCTCACAGGCTGCTGTGTATATCTAATCTTGAGCAGGAACACATGTATTTACTGAGTACATATCTGACATTAAGGATTAAACACATTTGTGCATTCTTTAATGCAAACCGGTCAAGACCACTGACGGAAGTAGTTTTGAAAAGTAATAAGTGGTTCTGTCTTTCACATGTAGGATTCAACCCCCCTTGGGTTGATTAGTTTTCAAATGAACAGACACTCGAGTCATTCATTTGTCGTGATATCATAATTGTGGGATTTCTATTGCATCCACTTCATCTGCAACGAACAACGCCAACGCAATTTCCGCATTTGCAAACCGAGTCAAGCCGACTCCGAGCTGTCCGACTTCAGGCGAGCTTTTTGAGACCGCCCTCGGCTGCAATCGGCTATTCTCGTCTACTTTGGAGGCGAGACGCAGCTCGTCTCAAAGGAGCCTCTATGGATATAGAATAGAATGGGAGGGATGAAACCCTCTTCAAGGGTCTCACATGCAGAGCACACAGTGACATTTGTTCTCTGCATTTAACCCATCCTAGTGCCAGGAGCAGGGATAGTGAGGTGGGCTGAAGATCGGAAGGTTGTGAGTTCAAATCCCGCCAGGAACACCACCATTAGTGCGCCCTTGAGTAAGGCACTTAGTCCTCAGTTACTCCAGGGAGAATGTCCCTGTAATCGGTCACGGAGCGTCCACACAGCAGCGTTAAAAAAATCTTGGATGTGGGCGTATCTGAAGCTTGGGGATTTTTTGCGAACAACCAATCACATGAATCTCCCGCCCGGGACATACGAAGCAAAAAAGCCAGAAGTAAAGTGGATATAAACTCCCCAAACAGATGAAAACATACCACTGTCTCTGCCACCTCCCTCCATGCCTGGCTCCTCCGGTTTGTATCCCGGTAGGTCTGGTCATAAAGCATCGGGTGATTCCCTACCGCTAATTTCTCCTCCATTTTTTGGAATATGAGGAAATGACCTGTGGTATGTCTCTCCCAGCATACACGCCGTTTGATTGGCTAGAGCTTGAACTGCCAGATTTGCGTACACAGGATTTGATTGGCTGCCGCTTCCACCTCAGCCTCAAAAGTTGAACATTGTTCAACTTTGAATCCTGAAAATCCTGAAAATCTCCGCTCTGCTTCCCACAATGCATTCCGGCGAAAAGTGAGGGAAAGTGACGTCACCCCATTCAAAGTGAATGGGCAGAAGCGTTTCAAGATTTTTTTAACGCTGCTGTGTGGACGGTCCTCACTGTAAGTCGCTTTGGATGAAAGCGTCAGCTAAATGAAATGTAATAATAGGAGCAGTGGGCAGCTATTGTACAGTGTATATATAACTCCGTGAAGCCAGGCTTCCCCTGTTTTTTCGGATTGTAGTTATAATTTAAATAAATAAATAAAAACACTTTGTTTTGTTTCGATAATTCTCCTTTGCTGTGTGTTGCTGCCGGCCCGTCTCTCCCCCATTCTCATTGAGTATTTTACAAAGAGTGAAACAGCGTCCCCTCTAGATGTTATGGTGAAACAGTAGATTGCATTCACTGTTGCGAGAGGAGGCCAGCCGGATCGGGCTTCCCTTGGTGAAAAAAAATGGAGGGATTGACCAATCAGATGAGGCTCACGTGATGCCCCTGCCAACCTGTGATTGGTCAGGGCCATGCCAAGGGAAGCCAGCCGCCTCTGGCTTCCCTTCAGAGGCGGCTGGCGGCTGGCGATTTGATTGGACACTGCCATCCAATCAAAATCACATCAACATCAGTTTTACTACGTACTGTAGTCGCCTACTGTAACTGTCATCACCGCCGTTTGAAATGATCAAGCAAATGAAGCATTATGGAGGGTGGAGATTTGGCGTACTTAATCAAACATAACTTTACTAAACTTCCGCTACAGCAGCAACTACAAATGAAATCAGATGCCAGGCCAATGCCCACACTCGAGCTGTGGACACAGAGGACAAAGGGAGCGAATCGGACGTTCAATGAGGACAATTATGTCCGCACGGAGTGGCTAACTGGAAGCGCTAAACTTCAGCGTCTATTTTGCTGGCCATGTCTTCTTTTTGACAAGGATTCGTGCTCCCTGAACAATCCTTGGGCAACTTCAGGATTCATCGACCTTGCCAACCTGTCACGGGCAATTGAGAGGCACGGTAAATCCAAAAATCACATAGATTGTGCTGTTTCAGCTGGAGAGTGCGTGCGGACCTGTCGGTTAGATAACAGGCGTGTGCAAGTCCTGCATCTGTGTGATACAAATGTGTGTGAAATGATACCGGGCGCTGTAATCACTCATCTGGTTACGTTATTGACCACCCCCCCCCCCCCACCCCCCCCAACCCAAAAAAAATGGGCTTCCCCTACATTTTTCTCATAATAATGTAACACTATCAGAGACTGGATATCCCCCCCCCCTCCCCCCTCTCTGGTCGCTACAATGAGGGAAATAAATGACGGGCCAAAAGTTTTATTTACAAGTAAGCAGAGGACACC